AAGCCCTTGGAAGAAAGGGTTCTCTTTAAGACCTTTACTGACACCTTGATCTTTGAGCTTGGTTTGAAAAACCTCCCAGCAGCTTGCAAAAATTAAGTTACTATATGAAGCAATGAAATAAAGCAATAGAAGACCCAGCGCATGTTTCCTTTTGCTCTCCCTGCTACTGGGGCGTAACATTCGCTGGGAGCTGCAGGCAGCAATACCTTAAACAACTGCAGAAGCCAAGCCCAGAGAAGATCCCCAGCCTGAGCTCTAAAGCTAAGGAGAACAAAAACTTGACCAACATATTTTTAAAGAAAACTGGAGACCAAATTGCCCCTGCTTCCACCTTTCTCAAGCCTCTTTTGCAAGACCATGAATTATTGCTGGTACAGCCCAGGTAACACATAGTGAAAGAGCAATCACACAGTAATTAGCAACAGCCAAGAGACATTTGTCTCAAGCAATCCCTCAAAGCACTTCACCCTTCTACACGTATTAATTTTCTAAACTAACATAAAGCAAATCTTAAGCTTCACAAAGAAGCAGTTAAAAACACTCACAAGTTATAATCGCTTACAACAACAAAGCTAGACCATGTTTGATTAATATTTTAAAAAAGAGCATTTTTCTGACTTGAAATACCTGAGGGAGCTTTACAAGGGGAGGGGCTGGGAAGAAAAAGCAACTCTATCGCTCGTAGCATCCTACCTGCCTCTCTCCTTACACAGGTTTGGCTGTAGCAGCACGCACAGGCGTGCGACACCCACGCAGAGGGGCTGCTCCTGCTCCTTGGGTGTCTTGGCAGGGAGCACCCAGCCAGAAGCAAGACAAGGCGGCAGGTACGGGGGCAGAGCAGCAGTACCCTGCACTTCAGGGGCTCAAAAGTCAACCGCAAACACCGTCAAAACACCCAGTCCCACAGCAAGGCTCGGTTCCCAGCTGTGATTTTCCCAGCTGCTGGATTCAGCCAGGGACATGAAGTCAATTGTGTCGGGGGGACACAATTTCAAGACAGGCATCCTCTTACCACGGTCAATGCGTTTTCATCTCTCAACATCAACAAGACAAAGATTTGGTTTTATGCATCCCAGCCTCCAAAAGGTCTTAACCACAGCACCAGTTTGCTGCTCAGCACAACACCCAGGCTCCCCAGTCCTGGGGAGGCCACTTACCATCTGTGCTCTGGCTTAACAGAAAGACTAACCCTGGTTTAGCTACTTCATAGGTGTTTCTGTGAGGCCGTGCCACATCCAGGAACAAGAGAAGGAGGTACTCACCACCCAGGAGACATAGCTGTCAGCTCTAGCAGGGCTGTGGCTGCTTCCTCCTGCCTGGTTTAGGGATCCAGGTGCAGGAGGGCACTCAGGGAAGAGCTCTTAGCAGCAGACAACTCCAATCAAGATCGTTAGCACAGGCATAGAGCCACCCCTCATCCACATCCTGCTTTAGCACATACGCATCAGACCTATCAGAAGGGTGAGATGTTTGCAGGGCATTGTGAGCACAGGTCGCCAAATGTTGCCCAAGCAGGTGTAGGCACATGCCACGCTCCCACCAGAGCCCAGCCTGCCGTAAAGGGATGAAGGCACCTCGTAGGGCATGAAACCCCTCATCAGGCATGCTGGTTATTTGGTGCTTTCTCCACTGCAAGCTGAAACATGTTTGGAGAGCAACTGTTTGGTAACGGGGTCTCCAGCACACTTCGTTTTGCAGCGCAGCTGCAATTTGCAATTCAGTTTATTGCATTAAAATGTGGTTCAGCCCTAGTGGAAAGAAATAAATATGTCACTTGTCACAGTTCCTCCCGTTATCTTTTAGAGGAGAGCGAGCTCAGGCTAACATTCATAGAGGGGAGCATGGCGCTTGTCAGAAAGCGAACAGCAGTGTTGCCATAAATGCAGTGTCCTGCTCTCGCCCCAGCAAAGCCAGTGGGGACGTCCCATCCCAGCCCCCTCTCCTGGTCCAAGCTCTGCTTCCCAAAACCCTCAGCAGAAGAGGGCTTACTTGCGGGGTGTTTCTCTGCCCATGGAACAACAGCCTGAATGAGCAGAGGGAAAACATAAACTCGAGGTGGCTGCCAGAATTGTGCTGGAGGCTGGAAGCAAAAAGCCATTCACCTGCCACTGCCTGAGCCAAAGCCAACAGAAGCCCTTGCACCTCGCTGCTGTTCCTGCAGGGTTTATTACGAGTGAATAAAACTATATAAAAATCAGCTGTTCAAAGGGAGCAGATAACAGAGGTGTTTCGACTCTGCCTGTATCCCCAGTACGATCCCCAGACTCTCACCTTCCTATGGACCTCTGCTAGAGCTGCAGCCGTTCACTGCTAATTGATTCAATATGCATTTGGACTAGGATTTTTAATTAATTTTATTACAGAAAAATTAATGCACTGCTTCCCTACAGATGCATTAGGATACTGACACGAGCGGTAGGAAACCATCCTTCAGCACGGCTTTCGTTGTGACTGCTTGCAGGGAGCTAACCCCACACCAGCGGTGGGGCTTTCCTGATGCAGTCCCTCCCCCAGAGCCCCCCCCTCTAGTCTAAGCGCTCACTTTCAGCTCACGCCAAATATTTACCACGTTTCAACTGAATGTAGAAATGTATAGGCTACAGAGCAGCAGGAAAGCATTGCTCCTCTGCCTCCCCGGGTCATGCTAATAGACTGCCGGGCTCATTTGCAGCAGCGGCAGGCTCTGGCCTGCACAGAGCAGCTCGGCAGCCCCGTTCACCCCAGTTGGTTTGATTTCAGAGGGATATGGTGCATTTTGGTGGCAACTGCGTTCTCAAGACTACGTATAGTCCTGAGTGCAAATCAAACAGTACTAACCACGGAAAACGACCTGCACGATGCGGGTCAGTGCTGCCAGGCAGCACCCTGCCTGCCTCTGCCCATCTCCGCCCCACATCAGCACCAGCAGATGCTTTCCCTTCAGCAAAAGCTCTCACATCTCTGCCACTGTTTTAGGCATCCAGAGGGACCACACAACCCAATCGAGCCAACCCCTGCCTCCCCAGAGCGGCGAGCAGGCTTTAACAGCTGCAGTACTGGCACCATCCCTTCTTCTTAACCTAGCCCCTCATCTTCATAGCCCACCTCAGCTCGACTTCAGCAGGCGCAGGGGGGAGCAACAAATCACATTTTGCATTTTGGGAACAAAAGCAGTCCACAGTCAGCTGTCAAATTCACGCAAGGAAGAGTCTGTCTTCACCCATCCCTTTCCCCAAATCTATTTTATCATTACCCTTCTCTACATATAATGGAGTTAATAAGAGACATATTTACTCTGCTTGACTTAGGAGTAAAGTAAAACTAGAAGTTTTAGCTGTACAGCAGCCCAAAGCAGCAATGTCTGCTCTGAAATACCATAAGCATTTCAAAGCAGAAAGAGCATTTGGAGGGTGTTCTATCAAAAAATGGAGCTGGGTGAAATTAAGCAGTTCCCAATATTTGAGATGACATCTCAGAACACAAAAACCAGCGGTAGTGGCGGAAATCATGTGTTATTTATATACATTCACACTATGGTATTTATCAATGGCAGAGCACTGGGGGAAGAAACATCATCACTACGTCTGCAGTATCCGAATTTGAGTCCCTGGAGTCCTGCACTAGCATTGTATTGAACAGCATCCCCAAGGCAAGCCGTATTTTAGAAATTTGCAGAGCAGGAATAGGTAGTGCATCGTAAGGTTCAAGACCTTAATCAAGCCCTGCAACTCGATAGATTTCCAATATAACGAAGACAAAGAGGTGTCAGCTCTAGTCCTTATTTGCTAATACTATCAATAGGGGCTCAGCTCACTAGCAGTTAATTCAAAGCCAAGCTCGATTTGCACAGCAGTGATCTACACCAATTCCCATATGTGGCCAAGGGGAGATTTTGCCAACTAGACAATAGAAACAGTATTACAGCTCCTGAAATGATGCCATCACTTTTCTCTTCTGCTCCACCACTTCCCCATCAAATTTCCACGTACTGGAATCTCCAGCCGTCTTCCCCCTTGCATCAGAAGATGTGCGGAAAGGGTAGCAAATACAAAGGTACCTATTTCTTTTCCAGATGCAGCTTTATTGAGGCTTTTAAAATGCAACTTCCCATAAAATGGGGGCCAATTTCACACTTGTTTTCTTGTGCATTAAAGACACTAAGAACTGCCATAATTAAGCAATTATAGAATTATTTCTAAGTGATCCAACTGTAACTTAGCCTTAAAAAAAAAAAGTTGCCACATGTTGCTACATTTCATAAAAGTTTATTAGCTTGCTTCATCCGATACCAAGTTTTGCTTGGTTTTGCTTTCAGGTTCTAGTCCATCTCAACACTAGATCAGACTGTTTTGCCAAGACACTATGGCTGTTGAGAAGTCACAGGAAGCCAGATGTGCTACCCAAGTAGGCAACAAAGCAGTTTTATCCACATTAGAAGTAGCTACTGCCTGTAAGCCTGGCCCTCATTAATCTGCAGTTTGGCTCTAAGGAAGCAGTGGCAGCAGCCCATACCCACCGTTGTTACCCTGTCCTCTTAAGTCAGCTGCACACGGCAGCCCAACAGCTATTAATTCAAGTATCCCCACAGCCCCATCTCCTCCTCACTGCCAAGCAAACACTGACTGCTCACTACAGCCAGCACAAGGAAGGAATTCAAGGGTAGCAAGGGCGTGCTATAGTTTTCCCAGTTTGTGCAGTTTCCGCGTTAAGGAAAAATGAGGTTAGAATCGCCAGCTAGAGACCAGGTATTACCTTTCCCTTCCAAGGGCTCCAAAACATCTCCAGCTTGGATTTGGAAAGGCAGCAAGACGGCGACACAGCCAGCCAAAGGGGAAAGAGAGACCTGCGTCGCTCCCCCAACCCACCTCACAGCACCCAATTCGTATTAAAACTTGCATCATTAGAGAAAGGACACAGACTAAGTACCTGCGCCACGCTCCTACTTCAGCAGGGAGTTAAGACTAGGCGCCTGGCTCCTGCCACGAATTAAGATGCTAGAAAAAACCACAAGTCTGAAACAGTTTAACACAGGACAAAAAAGGCACATTTTAATATGTACAGCAATGCATTTGGGCTATAAATTTACCCAACACAACTGAAAAAAAAATCCAAACTATGCTTTTATACTTATTCCATGGTGTCAGCCTCATTCCTAGCCACCTACCTTTCTCTGCATCTCTGAATGCTGCTATATACACACACAAACAAACAATTACGTCATGAATGTTCATTTAGGCTCCCAAGTTCAAGTAATAAAGTTCAAACTTGCATAGCGTCTTATGCCACTCAGCCATAAACAGTTACGATTGCATATTAGCTTGAGCAGCCATCTCTTTCAATTCAGCCAGTTTTGACTGGCCACCATTTATTTTTATTTTTTTTTTTTTTTAAATCCTTGAGTCAGAATGTTTCCTAAGTCACCAGCCCTGAGGGATGCCACAGACTTCAAAATGAACCTCTTGCTGTTGTCAAGATCCTTTTAAACCAGAAATTTAGAGTGTTGTCAAGAACAGTTTTAAAAATGTAATACTGTTTATTTTGCTTCAAAAACATTTCAGCATTCTAAACATACAAAAAAAACAGAACGTTGCAAATTCGTTTAAGTACAGAGTGTTTTTGAACTTCAGTTGCTGCACTGGCTCTTCACTTAGTTGACGATGAAGAGATGTCTACAGTTTCAGTTTAAAAACTACCGCACTTAACTAAAAAAATCCATACACTTCTCATGCCAGCTGAACCCCCTTCCACAACTAAGAATGGCAGCAGAATGCTATTTCACTATATACAGAAAGACAACTTTAAGCTAAATGGACGCCCACTGTAGTGTAAATAGATCTACCCTCACAGTGCATGCTTTGGGCCATGGCACCCCGGGGAACGTACAGCCTTTCCGAGTAATCACTGCTCCTCTAAGGCATCATAACTCTAAGCATGTACCACAAGAATCTGTCTAGTTTTTACAAACTATAGATATGTACAGTTTATAACCCAGGATTTTCTAGCCAATAACCATATAGTAACACCACCTTACAAATTAAAAAAATGCTTGAAACATTTTTAAATGCTTTGTTACACCAACAGCAAAGTGCACAGAGTTAGGAGAACACTAGAGCGCCTTTTCATTTTAAAAATGTTTGGAAATATGTACAACTTTGATACAGTTTCAGGGTGCTCACTACACCCATGGCCACTTCATGTAAACCAGTTACAATTTCTAGAGCACTTTTAGAAACTACAACGCGATCGGAATCCAAATTTCTTTTTTTTAATTAAGCCTAATAAGGGCAAAAGACACCATCTCAAATAAGAGGTGCTTCATTTATGGTGTTTCCCCTACTCTATGGTATTCACATGGAGACAAGTATTGTACAGTTTTATTCATCATCATCATCTTCATCCTCCTCTTCTTCATCCTCCTCCTCCTCTTCGTCTTCTTCCTCTACCTTTTTCCGAGCAGCTTTGGTTGCTGCTCCCTTTGCGCCATCAAACTTTCCTTTAGACTTGTAGTCTGCAACATCCTGCAAAGTCAAGGGGATGTCTTAATTTGCTCTAAGCAGCAAACACACACAGCATTTGTACAGCAGCAGGCGTTAACGTAAAGAGACTGGCCTTCCGCAGCTGCACCCCGGAAAGGGGAGACAGCCAGCATTGTAGTACACAGGTATGCAGACACCTAAGCGTACTCAACTGCCTCCGCATGATGGAGGCCTTGAACCCTGCGTTCATGGTTATTTCTTTGAGGAGGAGAAGAGAACCCAGCCTCTCTTAAAAGTTTCCTGCTAACGGGACAAAGCTCCTTTAACAGCACAGCAAACCTTTTGCTGGAGCAACACAAGCAGCCGCTGCTGCGCATCACCAGGGGAAAGCTCTCCCTCCGCGCTGGAATCCGCCCGCGGCTCTCTAACCTACTCTGTCCCAACATACACAAAGTTTGGCTACGTAGCACGCAGCGCAATGAGAACAGGTCTGTAAGCTGGAGATGCTCGCTACGCTGGGGCCATCTTAGCTGGGTCTATGTTACAGAAACACATCAACACAAGAGTCGGTATGGAAGAGGCACAAGTGAAAACTAGCCTTACCTTCTCGTACTTCTCCTTCAGTTTAGCCGCCTTATTATTATAAGGCTGCTTTTCACCATCACTGAGGTTGTTCCACATTTCGCCCAGTTTCTTTGCTACATCCCCGATGGATATGCCAGGGTTTGTGGACTTGATCTTGGGGCGGAACTCTGAACAGAAGAGGAAGAAGCCAGACCTTGGGGAGAAGCACCAGAGGACAGTCAGCACTGCAGCAGCACGCCCAGGGAGCACCCCCTTCCTCCGTCCCTCACCCACAACATTCACACATGCACTCACACACCGAGTAGAAACACTTTTTTTTACTTAAAAAAAAACCAACAAACCCAAACATGTTTTGATTTTACTGAGGCCCAGACCTGCAGCCTTCACCCAATGCTGTTTTTAATCAAGTGTTGCCTATTCCCCCCGCCAATTTCATCTTTATACAAGTCTCACTGTGACCTGGTCATTTCTGTATCTTCCATCACTACGAGTTTAAGAGTACCAAGTACTGACAATTCCTGTTAGCGCTCTACATGCTCCAGATTACAAGCTGCCTAGAAGATTTACAAGACGGTATCAGTAAGCTATGAATATTACTGATACTGCTGTACCAACAGTATGCCCCATCTACTTCCTTTATGGAAACCTATCAGCTGCATTACAGGGCGTGAAAACAAACCCAAATACTTGTGCATTTAATGCCTCAAAGTTACTTACGGTGGTCGTTTTGGGGCATTGGGGTCCTTCTTCTTCTTGCCACCCTTAGCTGGTCCATAGTCCTTCATTTCTCTATCATATCGTACCTTATCAGCCTTTGCCATTTCATCAAATTTAGCCTTCTCCTTGCTTGACATGGTCTAAAAAACCAAAAAACAAGAAACCGAACCTGTGATTACCCAACTGTTCAATAGCTGGCAAACTTTAAGTAAACAAGCCAACACATACCAACTCGATAGGGGAGTTTCAGAATTTGTTTGTTTTCTAACTGGACCACCTTGGGGACGAAGGTCCTGTACTGGGGACCGCAGCCACAGTTGGCATACTCAGTGAGAGCGAAGCAACGGGAACGGGACAAGCACAGCCAGAGTCCTCCTCAAGGACACAGGCCTGGAGGGAGGTAGCTGCTGAAGGGCACTGCTTGGGAACAGGAAAAAAGGCCAGGCTGTAGTGGAAGCACCTAAACGGGTGGATACACCGGGCTGAAGCCTTCACAATCATTACAGGAGTCAGCAGCACCCGATCAATGGCCGGGACACCTTGCCAAGAATGGCACACAGACCAAAACAGTACTGGCTCTCTTCATGTTCAGATGCACGCACACCATCCTAGCAGATACCACAAGAAGTTACCCCTTCAGGAAGTCACAAATTAAGGTACCTTCCACCTCTCCGAGCACTTCTTGGAAAACTCTGCAAAGTTGACTGGAACCTCTGGGTTCTTTTTCTTATGTTCCTCACGGCACGTCTGCACAAAGAAGGCATAGGCAGACATCTTGCCCTTGGGCTTCTTCGGGTCACCTTTAGCCATCTTGACTCTGTAGGGAAGAGGGAAAAGGGAAAAAAATAACAAGTGAATGCATGTATGGATGAATGTGTATACATATATGGTGTGCATATATTTACATACACACCCCACCATCCCCTGAAGTGATGTCCCATCAGTTACACATCCCTTTCTTCCCCCCAACACCTCCTAGCATCCCCAATACAGAAACTTATTCTTTCTTGACACTTGGGTTGCAGACTTGAGCCAAGTGAAACTAGTCACTGGATTTAAGTTTTACATTGATATATATTGACATCATGTCCAAAGACTGGAGACAGGTTATTAAATACACATACTCGTGCCCATTAAGAGTTAGATATGAACTGATACAGAATATTTATTTTAGTTGGCTACCACACTGGGGCTTGAGAGGCATGCACAGCGCCGGCTATGACTTATCCCTTTAGTAGCTGGAGCTCACATGTTAGCAGCTGCTGTCCAGCTAGAAAGGCAGGACAGATTATTCCCCCCCTAAAAGTGCAATGACCTTTTATATATAAGAAGGTGTGCAAATAAAGGTTAGTTTTAAACACAATAGGACCCGTGGAGCTCTGCGAGGCGAGCAGCGCTTGCTCTTGCTCCACCAAGTGACACATGTTTGGAGGCATAGTGGTCAGTGCAAAGATGTGATTAGCAAGTCACCGAAAGGATGATGCTAACTTTTGGGCTGTATTTCTTTCCCCCTCTTCCGTATTATTCCCCCCCCCAAAAAAAAAAATATCCCGCAGCAATATTTCCTATTCACAGCTTTTCAAGCGTTTGAAAATTTAATTTTTATTAGCACAACGTTAATATTTAATTGCACCTATTAACCCCCGTGTGCAGCAAAAGTGGCTTT